GTTGATATTCCTCTCTTTAGATCAGACTTCTTTACAGGACATCACCTTTACTGTAGAGGATAATGATCATCAGGAACCTCCTTCCAGTAGTCCTGAAGTCCCCCCCACTGCCGAAAACCAGCAAGTGGAGGACGTCAAGCCTCAAGATCAGGACAGTCCAGCCAGTTCATCATCAGGTGACACTGGATCACATCTGCTGAGACAGCTGGACTGTGACAAGATCGTGAGGGTCGAGGGTGAGTTTACTGTCTGACATAAAATATGACACACACACACACACACACACACACACACACACACACACACACACACACACACACACACACACACACACACACACACACACACACACACACACACTCTCTCTCTCTCTCTCTCTCTCTCTGTCTCTGAAAGAAAGTGAATATGAATATGTGTAAGGAAAGCATATGTTTTAAATAATGCAGCTGTTTCTGCAGTAAGGTTTCTTTTAGTTTTTTTTTTCCTCCATAATTTTAAATCACCATTTGGCTTTTTTTGCAGTTCACTTAAATAGTCATGCGACAAATGAATTTTTAAAAGTACAAATATTACAAATATATTTCCCAATTAACATTTCATCAGAAAGTATGACCACTGCTATAACACTGCTTTATTAAACAGTAAACAAATAAAAATAATTCTGTTTTAATAGATCACATTTGCTGGAAATACGCCATTGGCAAGAAATTGGGGGAAGGAGCATTTGGCTCTGTCTTTGAAGGGACCCGTTGCAAGGACGGCCTCATGGTAGCTGTGAAATTCACAGCGAAGACAAAGAACGAGCCATACATCAACCTTGTACGTAGACTGTGCTCTCTATGTTTGCAATTTATAACATTTTAATGTAAATCATATATATATTTCAATAGATAGACAGACTGGGCTAAATCCTTATTTGAGAAACCAATCCTTTATCTAAAAATAATAAAAACTGTCATTCTTCTAGCCTGACCATCCCAGACCAGTTCCACTTGAGGTGGCCCTGACAGTAATGGCCAATCAAGGCCCACGCTGTCGCCACATTATAAAGGTGCTGGACTGGCAGGACCATCTCGACCAGTACATCATGGTCTTAGAACGGCCCTCACCCTGCATGGACATGCACAGCTTTTGGCAGCATTCCAGAGGCCGCTTTAGCGAGAAATTGGCCCGTCACTTCATTTGGCAGGTGATTGAGGCTGCTACCCTGTGCTGTTCCAGGGGTGTTCTACATCGAGACATCAAAATGCCGAACCTCCTGGTCAACACAGAGACCCTGGAGGTCAAATTGATCGATTTCGGCTGCGGGGACCTCATGAAAAGGTCATCCTACAAAAACTACTCTGGTATGTGTTATCTTTAAAACATATATTTTAGGATTTAAACTCTAGTGACCAGTTACGCCATGTCTTAATCAGACATCACACAGTGAGATATTAACAATACACTAGCAAAACTCTCAAAGATTAGTCAATATTAATATTATTTTTGCTGACAAAAAGTAAATGCCATTTCAGTTAAAGTGATAAAAAGCTAGCTTACACATGTGACAAACTCCTATCTCCAGGCACAGCAAGGTATTGCCCTCCTGAGTACTTTGAGAAGGGCAAGTACTATGGGAAGCAGGCAACGGTGTGGTCGCTGGGGGTGCTGCTGTTTGCCATGATCGGCTGCCGTTTCCCAGACAGCAGAGATATCGCTTTGATGGACCCTGATGTCTGGTTCCAGCCGAACTTCTCAGATGGTTAGAACAAAAAAGATGTTCTTATGGATAATGCAGGAATCTTTCCCATTTTTACAGCTTAGAGAGCAAGTGTAAAGTTGAAGGAAATAATTAGACAACTCTCAATCTTTCTGCACAGATTGCTGCCTCTTTATTCGAGGTTGCCTGAAGAGCGACCCAAAGCGGAGACTCCATCTGGATGAGATGCTCTCCCATGACTGGTTCAAGGTACAGAGTCTAAGACAAGCTAAAATGATTTTGAAGATATAATTATATTGGCCTATTTTGGGTCTTTTTGTTAATTTGGCTTGATTATCTGAATATGGACATCAAGCTTCTTTACATTACAATCCTTATACATGGCACAGATGTATTTTTTATACCTTATGAAAAATGCTTTCTAATTGTGTTTCAGGTCATGGAGAGGGTTTAGCCTTGCGTCTGGCGGGCTGACACAGAAGACCCCTCCATCTCTCCAGCCTCAGCGTCTTGCGGGGCTGGCAGGCCTCGGTTGCGTCTGGCGCCTTGGCTTGAGGCAGTAGTTTTAGCGTCTTGCGGAACTACTTGCCTAGGGATGTGTGCATATTGTAAATAGTTAGTTTAGTTTTACTTAGTTAAGTTAGCCCCTCCATCTCTCCAGCCTTAGCGTCTTGCGGGGCTGGCAGGCCTCGGTTGCGTCTGGCGCCTTGGCTTGAGGTGGTAGTTTTAGCGTCTTGCGGAACTACTTGCCTAGGGATGTATATTGTAAATAGTTCATTTAGTTTTAGTTAAGTCCTGCACCATCCAATCATATTTTTAACAATGGAGTCACCCAGAGCTCTCTGTTCAGCCCGTCCCACAAGTTCCTCGCACTGACGCCCTAGAGGTTTCTGCCACTGGCATCTGGGTCCCAGAGAGGGGGTTTCACATAGCTCTCTTTCTCAGCTGCCTTGGGTCCAGAGTTCCTGTCAGGGCTTCTCCAGAATTCCCAGTGAAGACAGCCATAAAGTTTCCTGTCACTGCTGCTCCAAAACCTGCTGAGGCTCCACAGAAATCACTGTGAAGGTTCATTCTGCTGCAACTCCAGTCCCTGCTACGGTTCTAGAGCTCCGTGTCAAAGATGCTCAGGTTGCTAAGCTTCCCAGAGGTCCCTGACATGACTACAAAGTTTCCTCCTCATGGTGCAGAGGTTCATGCCACAGTTGCCAAAGAAGTTCCAGCCAATTTATATATACACCTGTGTGCCATATTAAAAATAAAATGTTTCTGAAAATAAACACAATGTGTTGTTTTATCAGGGAAACGTGATAATTTGGAATCATTAACCACTATTATGCTTCAGTTCTAGACATTAAGCCTCTCATTTTGCCAGTTTCACCAGGTAAGTAATACCAGGTAAGTGACTTCTCAAAGTAGAGTTACACTATAAGGCCCTCCATTTTATATTTGAAGCCCAACGTATCAGCATGTGATTCACCTGCAGACAAGGTCCAAACGCCAAATCTGACTTTGGGGAGGAAATAAAGCTGGGTTACCTGATAGTGGCAGATACCTTTATAGGAAACTGTATATATATATATATAAATATTGATATACATGAAATTCTATGAATAACAAATTCAAATGGAAGACATACAACCCTAAACAAAATGTTTCAACTTGCATATGGTACAACTTACCTCAATGGGAAATTACCATTAGAAGAAGTGGTATTCCATTTTTTAACCCTCCAGGAGATCGCAGACAGTCATAATGTAAAAATAAATTATTTTAACTGTTGCCTTTATGTAAAATTTGCCATTGTGAAAATGAAGAATGAATTAAGTTAGAACAAAGTCAGTCTTGTTAACGTCTCTATCAGTCTTTCAACCATGTTTTAAATGAGCTAATTATTCCAGTTTTACAAAACTCATTTGGGTAAATATTTTGCTGTAATTTTAAATAAACTTTATTTTTACATAATCTGAGTCTGAATTTATTACACATACAATAGAAAAATCTCTAAATGACAGAAGTTGCCTGTCTCCAACCTTCAAGCTACCATCTTTACACAACTTATTTACAACAAATACTCGCTGTATAATATAGTATAACAATATGCCTTCAGAAAACAGTGGTTGCTTGTTTCTTTATATTTCATTTCCTTGAGGAATCTTTTGATTAAGAGGAAGAATAAAACGGGCATGTTGAAGTAGATGGACCTTCGTGAGGAAGTATAAAGGTCTGGAGAGTCAAAACTGCTGTGTCATAAGGGCGTCCGATACACATAAAACTCATTCCGGTATGTACAATGTTGATGGGTCAGAGTCAGTGACTGTCTAGATATAGTAATTGGCATGTCTACATTCATGGGTGTCTACGCCTGCGTGCCTCGAGTGAGGACAGTAGGGCGCCTGCTAGTGTAAGGTAGCAGGAGGTGCAGAGAGATGCATATATGGGTGGAGCAGTAAATTAGGCAGCACTTGGGTACGGTGCACATTAGCTGTCAAACTGAGCACATCTTTGTGATCCGTGATCATATTATTAACAATAAGTGCTTTAGTAGAAAGGGATCTAATATTCAGCAAGCCAAACTTGATCAATTGTTCATTTGAGCGATCTCTAGAGTCCTTGCAATAGAGTGCAACAGTCAGGATCTGGAAGTAAAAACTCTCCATGGGGAAATTTATTTTTGGCGATAACTTACGAACAGCCCCACTGTGAGATAGAGATGAATCGATGGCAATTGCTTCTGTTGAAGCTATCATCCTGCAATATTGCAACCGGTATCTAAAATAATTATTTCTAAAATAATCGCGTTCAACAGCGGATTTTGTGGTGGAAAAACTACATTACCCATAATTTAAGGTTGATTTCTGTTCAGAAAATTCCACCAATCAGAGAGCCGCGACAATCAAAATCCGCCAAAAGAGCTCTTTAGCTCTGCTCACTCCCATGAAGCGCTATGAATGATGTAATCAAGTCAGTATCCCTATGAACTCAATATACTTAAATATTTGTTCATAATGCTTCGTGGGATTGTAGTTTTTTCCTCACAAAAGCCATTAAGTACACAGTCTTGTACCTTTGCATTTTTGTCTAATTTTTAAATACCTTTTTGCTTTAAATTAAAGTTTGCGATGTTATGATTTACCTCGTAGCTGGTTGGTTTGGTTCATTGCTTATAATGCTTTAACAGAAACTTTTTAAAAATCACAAAAGGAAAAATGAATGGATAAAATACTTCCAGAACCAACACCGCTGAAAAAGTGGGCAGGCACTAATGCACCATATAAGCGAGAACACAGTCAGAACAAAATTGTGTTCCACAAAGGGACGATAAACTCCATTTGAAGTGAGTTGCTGAAACACAAAATTCCAGACAGCACAGGTAGATAAACCATCTTTATGAAGATGAGAAATTTGAGGATTGATGGCACAGGTGCATCCTTTTGAGACAACAGTGATGCAGAACTACAACCCTACTAATATGTGGATTGCACATTTCATTGTCTTTACTATAAAATTGTTTTCCTGTTTTAAAATGTGTAATGATGTCAATATTAAGCCAAAAAATAAGGCAAAAATAGAAATGATGTGCACACAAGCAGACACAGACAAACTATTATCTTCCCTCAATCCCAAAGTACATTTGAAAGATATCAGCACATCCTTTGTCATTAAGGAACTGATAAAGCTGTCCAAGGTCCATGTGGTTTCCTCTGGTCCCGTGAGGGTCAAAAATGGCTTCATGAAATCCAGTGAACTTGCGAAGGGAGTCCGTTCTCTCCTCCATCGAGCTGTTTTCCAAAGGGACATCCTCTCTGTGACGAATCATAATTCTTTTCCATGTTAAAACTTTCACCCTGAAAATACATAAAAAAAAAAAAAATGCACCAATAATAAAAATCCGCTTTAACATCACAGGAATATATTATATTTAAAAAGATATTCAAATATAAAAGTTATTTTAAATTTTAATATTTCATTTACAAATATTACTGTTTTTAATCAAATAAATGCAGCCTTGGTGAACATAAGGGACTTCTTTCAAAACATTAAAATAATCTTCTTCAACATTTTGACCAATATAATAATTCAAAACAATTTGAAAATTAAATTAAGATGGTTTGCGTCAACCATAAAGTACGGTCAATTATTAGTTGCAGAGAACATAAAACCATCAACATTAAAAGTTAATCTACTGTATATGAATTTGCCTATATCAGGGGTTTTCAAACTTAAATTTTGGCAAATTGAAGCACTTAAACGTATGTCTAAGTTCAAAAAATGTTTTATTAGTCATCTACGTAGCCATGAAACACACACAGGCCCCTAACATAATAAATGAGATCCTCACTTTGGACCTCACAAGTATAGTCAAACCTATACACACACAAACAAATCTATTTTAAATTAGGTATTAAACTTTCTTTAAAATTTCCTTAAAATATCTTTGGTATTTAGAGTTTGCACTCAAAAGGCGTGTTCACAAAAGAATAAGTGTAGACCCTACTGATTTGGTTTAGATTTCAATTCATACCTGGCCCAGAACTCATCGCAAGCAGACTGCAGACCCTCCACACACACAATACCAGGCTTTCCCGGCATACTGAACCCAGAAAGGTTCAGCTCCTTTGCCCATTCCAGAATGTTCTTCCTCTTCATCTTATTGTAGATATGATGGCTGTAGATCCAGAGTCTAGTGAAGGTTTCTTTTGACTGCATTGAAACATTTTCCTTCTTGGGATCGCGGACAGGAGCACATTTACTGATATATGCTTGTGCATTTTCATTGATCCACTGCACAGCAGACAGAATACACACATCACCACTGCAGTTTTCAGACAGGTAGGTGTTGAGGTTGGAGTGAAGCAGCATCTGCTGTGATCTACTGAGCTCAGAACATCTGAAATGGGCAACAAAAATATTAATCTAGTAAAAATTCAGAAGGAATCCAATTGTGTCATGAATATTTTTCTTGACCTCAAATACAGTGGTACAAATTGAATTTGTCATTAAAGGTGCAATGTGTAATAATTTTGAGTATCTATTAACATAAATGCAATATGACATCCATAAGTTTTCAGAGGTGTATAAAGAACTTACTTAATAAACCGTAATGTTTTTATTACCTTAGAATGAGACATTTATATCTACATAACCGCGGGCACCCCCTTCTATGAAGGTCGACATATTGTGACGTCATGTTTCTACACTAGCCGAACGCGAAAAAACAGCGCTACAGACCGCGTTTCGTCACTACCTTGAAAGAGAAGCCGCAGAAACCTAGAAGCTAGCCATTAACACCGTGAGTAGTGACTTTTCCCTTGTCAGTGGTGTAAAATATGTAGTTGGACTGTTTCATGTAACTTAGTTCTTCTCCCTCGCTGTGTTATGGCTTTGCTATCTGGGGATAAATGTGCTGGTTACGTTCGTGAGACAGCTGATTAGTACTCTTGTCATTGACCGTAAAACAGTAACGTTACAGGAATCACCAACCCGTCGACCGCGGTCGACAAGTCGATCTTGGAAGCATTTTAAGTCGATCGCGAAGAGTTTTCAAAATCAGAGAAAGAAAGCCTATTGTGTGTAGTAAATGGTGTCTAGGGCATGCGGAGGCGCGCGCGCTGTTACAATCATGTCATTTTGGCCGCGCGCACCTTTGCGCTCATGCGGACGCGTCGAGTTTAAACAAGGCTTTACGCTTTAACCAGCTCAGCCACAGTAACAGCTCATATTTAGCCAGCTAAACTTTTACTACCCTGTTAGAAAACATATATAGTTGAATAGTTTCATGTGGTTCTTCTCCCTCGCTGTATTATGGGTTTGCTATGTGGGGAGAAATGTGCTGGTTACGTTTGTGAGACAATCAGCTGATTACTATTATTATATTATATATTAACCCTCTGGGGTCTGAGGTGTTTTCGGGGTCCTTGAGATGTTTTGGCATGCTCTGACATTTGTGCTTTTTTCAGTTGCTTATAAACATATTAATGGCACAGGTGAAATTACACTCTATATAGCACACACAGGGCTACCATAATATGTGAGCAACATGTATGTACATGTTTGTATTTTTGAGAGAATATTGTTTATGCGTGGTTATTGAAAAAACTAAAAAATAAAGTTTAAAATATAAGGCCACAAATAACATACTAAATATTTGTCCACAAGACTAGTGGATGTTATCGCCTAGAGTTTTTGCTTCAAATTGATCTGAAAATCATTCTGCCTTATCATTCACATAAAACAATAGATTGTTTTAAATTGTGAAAAACATTTTTTTGTTTGCAAAGGCAATATGCGGATGGGCGGAACGGCCCAACCCCCTCATGAATAATTAGGCAGTTCTCACCTGAGCAGTCTGCATACTAATGAGCCTTTCATTCAGGGGTGTCACACAAGAAAGAATGCAAGGACAATATATATACACTACCGTTCAAAAGTTTGGGGTCAGTGAGAATTTTATTTTTATTTTTTGGAGGAAAGAAAACAATACTTTTATTTATCAAGGAATAATTAATTTGATCGAAAGTGACAGTAAAGACATTTATAATGTTACAAAAGTCTTTTGAACTTCCTATTCATCAAAGAATCCTAAAACAAACAAAAAAACTGTACAACTGACAGACCAACAACTGTTTCAACATTGATAATAATAATAAATGTTTCTTGAGCATCAAATCCTCATATTATACTGATTTGTGAAGGATCATTTGACACTGAAGACACTGACACTGGTGATGCTGAAAATTCAGCTTTGATCACAGGAATAAATTACACTTTACTATATATTCACACAGAAAACAGCTGATTTACACTGGAGATAATATTTAATACTTTAACTGATTTTTGTTGTATTTTTAATCAAATAAGCGCAGCCATGGTTAGCAGAAGAGAATTCTTTTAAAAGTATTTAAAATCGTACCGACCCCAAACTTTTGAACGGTAGTGTATATAAATAAATAAATGTTTATACACACACACACATATATATATATATATATATATATACAAACAATCAAAATTTAAATGAAAGCCAAAAGCACATAGTCACACCTTTTAGCCATCCACATACCATTTTTAGCCATCCACCGCGGTAAAAATAAACCAGTCGCATTGCAAAGTCGTTCGCGAAATGACCGCCAGGTGGCGCAAAGGGACATTTAGCAAAACGTAAGTGGGGCTAACGTCTATTAACAGTAGCCTAAGGATGAAATACTACAAGTTATGGTAATTTCCAAATAAGCCTACAACAAATTGTTGGTCATACAGATAAGATATAATCTTTTAAGACTTTAAAAGGCTAAAGTAGGCCTACACTCTCACAGGCTAAAGACAAAACGTTTTCTTGCTCATGTCAGAAACAGACGTTTGGGTATTTCTCAGTGAGAAAATTCATAGCTGAGCGGTAGAACTTACGGTTCATCATCAAGATGACACGGGGTTCAAATCCCGCACAAACATGGTCTGCTGTAAATTTTATATTTATTATTGCAAGGAGATTTGTCTAGCTCTAAAACTCTGTTACACCATACAGTTTTTTTTTTTTTGCTTATATTTATAAAATACAATTATCATGCATTTCCATTTCACACTAAGTAAAAATACAAAAAAACAAAATAGTATCCAACAGAACGACTTTGCATCTGTATAATAATAGGCTACCAATCGTAATTTCAAAAGCAGTTCTGTAAAAAAATAAATTATATATAGCCTATATATACACTCACCGGCCACTTTATTAGGTACCCCATGCTAGTAACGGGTTGGACCCCCTTTTGCCTTCAGAACTGCCTCAATTCTTCGTGGCATAGATTCAACAAGGTGCTGGAAGCATTCCTCAGGGAGTTTGGTCCATATTGACATGATGGCATCACACAGTTGCCGCAGATTTGTCGGCTGCACATCCATGATGCGAATCTCCCGTTCCACCACATCCCAAAGATGCTCTATTGGGTTGAGGTCTGGTGACTGTGGAGGCCATTTTAGTACAGTGAACTCATTGTCATGTTCAAGAAACCAATTTGAAATGATTAGAGCTTTGTGACATGGTGGAAGTAGCCATCAGAGGATGGGTACATGGTGGCCATAAAGGGATGGACATGGTCAGAAACAATGCTCAGGTAGGCCGTGGCATTTAAACGATGCCCAATTGGCACTAAGGGGCCTAAAGTGTGCCAGGAAAACATCCCCCACACCATTACACCACCACCACCAGCCTGCACAGTGGTAACAAGGCATGATGGTTCCATGTTCTCATTCTGTTTACGCCAAATTCTGACTCTAGCATCTGAATGTCTCAATAGAAATCGAGACTCATCAGACCAGGCAACATTTTTCCAGTCTTCAACTGTTCAATTTTGGTGAGCTCTTGCAAATTGTAGCCTCTTTTTCCTATTTGTAGTGGAGATGACTGGTACCCGGTGGGGTCTTCTGCTGTTGTAGCCCATCCGCCTCAAGGTTGTGCGTGTTGTGGCTTCACAAATGCTTTGCTGCATACCTCGGTTGTAACGAGTGGTTATTTCAGTCACTGTTGCCCTTCTATCAGCTCGAACCAGTCTGGCCATTCTCCTCTGACCTCTGGCATCAACAAGGCATTTCCGCCCACAGAACTGCCGCTCACTGGATGTTTTTTCTTTTTCGGACCATTCTCTGTAAACCCTAGAGATGGTTGTGCGTGAAAATCCCAGTAGATTAGCAGTTTCTGAAATACTCAGACCAGCCCTTCTGGCACCAACAATCATGCCACGTTCAAAGTCACTCAAATCAACTTTCTTCCCCATACTGATGCTCGGTTTGAACTGCAGGAGATTGTGTTGACCATGTCTACATGCCTAAATGCACTGAGTTGCCGCCATGTGATTGGCTGCTTAGAAATTAAGTGTTAACGAGCAGTTGGACAGGTGTACCTAATAAAGTGGCCGGTGAGTGTATAGGCTATATATATATTATTTTTTTTATTCCAGGCTCTCATGCCACACCCCCGATTTCTCACGCTGAAGTGTCAACCCGGTCGGTCAAATTCCTGAAGGATATAGTTTATCTATAGATACCTGTTGAGCCACTCGTGATCGACTAGTTATTATACCGCAAATTAGTTAAAATATCCCGTAATCTATCTAGAGCGAGCGCATGCGAGACAGATATTGTGCTCCAAACCGTGCGCGCGCATGGCAGAGAGGTCTGTTCCCTACAACCTAGAGTTTTTAAAAACATGGTTTTAAGTAAAGTGTGATTTGCCATGGGGGACTGGGATTTCCTTCTGGTCTAAACATCCCTGCTTCTGCTGAATTATTTTAATCCCCACACACCCCTCCCTCCGCAGCTAATCAATGCTATAGGCTACTTCACCAATATCAAATATATAAAATAGAGATATGCAACAGGCACGTTTAAACGACAAACAATATAATCAAAACCAGCGTTTCAGTTGTTCATTAGTTCCAGTGGCCTTAATGCATGCACGGCTTTTCAAATTTCACAAAGCGTGTTGAGATTATTTTGAATGAAATATTGAAGTTTATAATTAAGTGTTTTGGCACACCACGCCGAGTGGCCCTATGCATTTTTCTAAAGTCGGGTTTTATTCTGGCATGGTGAGTTAGTGTTCGACAAACACGGCGGCGCGTTCATTTAGATTAATTTATTTTTCTCATTATTACAGCTAAAATAACTTAGTAGGCGACTCCGTAATTTTTTGGTCATACAGATAAGAGTAGAGTCGCTTACATCGTTCAAAACTGTAAACTTGTATTCATATTAGGCTAACGACAAAAACAGTATAGGCTATCTGTCGTCTCTGTCTCCGGGAACTGCGCGTCACAAAAATGAACCGAAAGCCACTTCAGCTCAGTCACGATAAGAAATCGGCTATGTCTAAAGCCTTTAAATGTCTAAATATTTAGGCTAATAAATGTTATCTGATTATGTAGGCTAATCCATATGAAAACGAGAGGTACAGAGGATCTACTCAAACATGCGCTTCCCAATGAGAAAATGACAAGACAAGGGTGAAAATCTCGCTCTAATTAAATGTAGGCTAAATCGCCCTGAATTAAAATGTAAAAACATAATAATGTATTTGTCGAAATGTTGCGATATTGTTTCATTTAAGTTCATAATTGTTCTATAAATGTTATTTAATTTAGCAGCATTACCACAAAGCACCGTGTTTCGATATTTATTTGAATAATACAAAATTAAATAAAAACTTAATTCACAAATTGCATGCCTGGTTGTAAGGATCCAAAGATCCCTGTAGAATTTAATATTGAGTTGAACATTTTGTTCATGACAACAAATTAACAAGCGTTTTTTTCAGATTATATTTAGTTTTGCTTGGAAAAAGCTGCCCCAAACCAGTTTTATTTCATCAATTATTGAAATAATGAAATATTTAGTAATAAACTTTTATGACAGAAATATCACTAGGCTACATGTAATTCCATTTAATTCCTTCATTATCAACACTGTCTAGAATAGCGATTTAAGTGTGAATTGCGACTTCTCTTTGTGTTAAGTCAGCCTCAGACTCCGATAGCCTGTGGGGGGTTGGAGGGACAGTTGCTGAACAAAGGTGTTAATGTTCCTCTTTCATATGGAGAGTGTCGGATAGCCAGCCTGATGAGCAGGCAAAATTATTGTAAGGATAAATCTGTGTCCAAATGTAGGCCCCATATTTTATACAAATTTATAATAGTAGTTTTAGTATATTATAAATATTGTAGTTTATTTATTGTAGCCTATTTAAAGTTTTTTTTCACACAAAATTTCAATTGAAGTTATTGTACGGTGAATTCAACAAGGCATGCTGTGTCTTTGAAGCAACAATTAAAGGCTAAATAATTTTTTCGTGATTTGTATGGCTGACACGCAGCGACATATACAGTAGTATTATCAGAGCGAGGGAGACTAAATAAACTTGTTAAAAAGAGATCCAGCGCGAGAGAGGCAAAGAGAAACGCATGTTTTTAATTTAAATATGTTTCTTTGGACAATTTTCGTTTTGTACTGTTTTAATTGTTTAATTTAGCTGTAATTTCTTTGGCAATACGAATTTAAAATGTCGCAAGAATAAGATTAGCCTAGTGTTTCTTATTTTGCATCGCAAAAGAAATAAACTCTAAACCGATGCAACCCTGTTTAAAAAAAAAAAAAAAACTGTCCCGACACTTTATTTAAACCTTGAAATGTTCGAACTTGGTTTCAAACATAAGTAATTTTTGTGTTCTTTTACATTACACAATAATTTAGCAGACTAAAGACGAGCTTCTTCTTTTTCATTTTCTGATGCAATCGGCTGACAATCTTCCTTCATCAGTTTTTGTCGTTTGTGCAGCGGCTGCGGTTCTACAGGAATGTAGCAAATTTATGTTGTAATGATAATCAAACAAAACTCTTGACTTTAAATAAGTAAACAGATATAAACAGTTACCTATTTAAGCATCAAGGTGGGAAAATATAAACGTAGGACAACATCGGTTAACAACATGTATGCTACATTGAGATTCGATCTCGGGTCGATTGAAGCTCCTCGAAGCTCGTGTCGTTGCGTTGATCACTGAGCAACCGTCTGTACGCTGATAAAGTTGTAAAGCCTCATTCATGTAGCCTAAATGTTTTTATTGCAATGTTTTATGTTGAAATGTTTTTATTATTTATTCAATTACATTTCAGTAGCCTAATTTCAGTATTGTGATTATGAATTATTTTAACTACATTTCACTTGTTGAATTCTTCTGCTACCAGCTTTCAATCGCTCTGAATCAGCGCGGTGCGGCAGCAGATTACGCATTAGAGAGAATAAACCGGAATAAACAAACACTTTTCAAAGTCTATGATTGTAGCGCCTCTTAGCGGTAAAAGGCAGCAAATACACCACACATTTTACCGCCGCGGTGGAACGGCTGATGTGGGCATTGTCATGGCTTGCCTCGACATTTGCGTTTGAATAGCGCGCGTCCTCCGTGGGCGTGTCAGATTAACGCGTAATGAAGTGTAATGAGCTGGGGAAAAAAATACTGACAGCACTCTCTTTTCATACAGATTGCATAAACTGAGAATATTTGTTTTTTATATAAATTACTTCATTTAAAAGAAGAGAATTTAAGCTTCATAAAGAAAAACCTCTCGTGCCTGTGTGACAAGTAATCGCGGAGTTACAGTTAATCTTAGGACGCGTTTCAGAATGGACTTCACTGACAGAGAGAACGCAGAACTCGCATCATGTTTGTTTTTCTTTATTTGGTGAAAAGCACAACACTTTGTTTTTATTGTGAGTATCCACAAAAAAAATAGAAACTTAACAGGATCTAATGATGTACAACACTTATATGTAAGATCAAAATTAACCGAGTATTTTGAGTCTCTTTTACACTGATAAGAAAAAAAGCGAGACAATCGCGCCGGCGCGATAGCCGACCCCAGGGGGTTAAGACCCTTGATCCTCACCTGACTATGGCTTTGTAAACTTTATCCATGATGTGGTTTATAATGGACTGTGGTACAGAAACAGTGACAATGTTACACACTCTTGGCTTACTCCGGCTATTCTCTGCTGTCTCCAGACGACAATATGTTTGTCCCGTTTTAGCCACCGTAGCTTCTTCGGAAGGGAGGGGTGAGCAGTGGGCTGAGCCCTTAGTGCAAACTCGCAACCGAACCGCTAGATGTCGCTAAAAATCACACACTGCACCTTTAAGATGTTATAATGGTCTCATGACAACTAATGTCAAAACCAACCACCTGACAGTTTAATGTAATGTTAACCCATAAAGCTAAGTGGTTCCTTAAGTTTTATAATTAATCTGCTATGTCATGTTTATGACATATTTATGACAGGTTGTGTTGTCTTAGTAACGTCAAATTGCCATGGCCAAGAAACGGCAGGTTATGATGTATTGGTTTATGTCAAGTTGTCATGACAAAGACACTGACTGGTTATGATGTATTGATTTATGTCAAGGTGTCATAACAAAGACATCTCAAACAATGTCATATTTGCATTAAAAATGTCATAATTGAGCGAATGACAATTAAAGGGGCATTATGCAGAAATCCCGTTTTTGTCAAACAGCGACCCCTAGAGTTACTGTGGAGTGCTTGAATTTAACGTTACTGTCGTAAATACCACTCACTCAGAGCGTGACATGGCCTGTTACATAGATAGTATACAATAGTACATTGTGTTTAATTTGTCGTTTAATGAGATATAATATATGTTGTTAGTGGTGAGAATTTTCACGTGATTAAATACATAGATCCGACAATTTTAATGGTCCAGAGGCAGAACTTTTGCAAGTGTGTCAGAGGTTCTGGGTTCTAGTCGGTACTAGTAGTATAGTTTATTTTCCTCATCAAAACCGATTGTTTATTAGTGGTTGTATTTCAAGCAGGGACATGTTTTTTGTGCATTAGGTTTTGTGATTTTACCATAACAAAATATAGAGAGTATCTCAGTCCCCGCAACGGATTCAGGCGCGCGTCACAACAGAACACTGTAACTTATCTGCACCACTGATCGCAGAGGCAACGAGCACTTTGGTCACTTGATTTAAAAAAATAACACATTTCAGATCGCCTCTTATTTAACAAACGGACGAAATGAATGCTCTACTAGAGTTACCTGGAGATGTTTTATTTGTTTGTAATGGTAACGTTACATCCGTGCCGCGAGAAGTTTCAATGGGGACATAACACACCCGCAAATTATGCCTATGCTCGTGTCCGACTCCTCGCTCGGTCAGTCTGCCGTTTCCTCTTTCTCTGTTCCTCCGACAATGCTTTCCTAGCTTTCTGCATCTTATATGCCGGCTCAGCCATGACGATAGTGTGACAAACTCCATCCATCTACCTTGTTCCTGTGTGTATGTGTGCAGTTGCCGTAAAGGAATATGTTACATCGCGAGAGCTGATATCACGCGATACTTCCTGACGCGGCCCGCCGCACCGAAGTTGCAAGTGAGATTTTTTCGCTCACAGGCACCAGGGGGGGTCGAGACGCCCACCATTCAACCCGAAAGAAGTTATATAAACATTTCAATAACTCTGAAGCTGTTCAGTTAAGCTAAAAAAGCTGCATAGTGTCCCTTTAACGACAGTTGTAATAAACATGCATAAACCCTCCTTCATATTCATGACATGTGTCCTGTCATGATTATGAAGGCGTCATGTCAGTCTTATGCACACCCCTTCAAGTAAAGTGTTACCAAAAATGGTAATTGGAAACTCAAAATATTGAAATACCTGGCAGTAATATCTGGCAACACTTTCGGGTAGTCAGCTGGGTAAGTGCACAACAATGTAATGCTCACCACCTATCAGAAAACAAAGATTGACATAAGAATTCAATGATGAAGAACAAAGAGTGCATTTGAATGTATTTCCCACACTTACTGCAAGGTTCTCCACCTTCAGCTTGATGTTGAATTGGGGTCTGGAACTGGGGGGAGTATGAGCAGAGCCCTCCACATAAGCCCTGAGCTCTGCATGGGAGAGCTCGTCCACTTGTAACTCTTCTTCACTTGGAAACATGCTTAATAGCAGCTCTATCTCTGCTAATTGTGCCTCTGCTTCCTCTGAGCAAGTCATATTTCCAACATTTGTTACAAACTCAAATCCAGTGTGCTTGCAGAATATTCTGCTAAGAAAGACTATATAAAAATAAAATGAAAATAGAATTAGTGGTTAGAATGGATGCAAGCATAATTCATAATTACATTTTCACGTGACATTATAGGATTTCCCCACCTGCCAGTTATTTTCACCAGTTTTCTACTAAGTACTAATATACAAAAACAGTGATATTAAAAGACCAAATTCTTATAAAGGCGAACCGATGCGCCCAGAATATGAACTCAACGTGCTAAGTAAGTTTTTTTCCATAGAAAACTATTATAAAGAAAATGCCTAATGCATAAAAACAGTGACGGTAAAAATCCTTCGGTAGAAATCACGGCACTTTCTCTTTCTTAAAAAAAAAAAGATTGTATCAATTACACCATTACACCCGTAGGTGGCGACAAGTGACTGTTAAAAAACGTATTTGTCATTGAATCAGTCATTCAAGAGATTCGTTCAAAAACTAGTGAAGTCTTGTGAGTCATTGAATCATTCATTCAAACCGATTTATAAAAAAATATCTAAGATTACATTTTTTTTTTTTAAATACTGCATTCATATTTATCAGAACATGTTATTTTGTATATTTGTCTATTCAAAATCGAGAGAGAATTGTGATCTCTATTTTAAACAAACAAAAATCGTGATTCTCGATACCCATAATTGTGCAGCTCTAATATTTCATTTCATATTTTAAAATTACTGTCTTAGTTGCATTAAGGCACGTTATTAGAATGTCCTGCTGTTTTTAGTGTTTTAAATACTGCGGCAGGTAACGTTACTGTGCGTTCACACCGGACGCGAATAGCGCGTCAAATTCGCGTCTACCGCGTCTAGTTTGACGCTTGACCACTTTGTGTTAATTCGCGTGTCAATGGCGAAATTGACGCGCGTAACAACAAAAGTTTGAAGCGAAATTTACGCGCGTCAGAGGCGAAATCCGGAGGCGAAAGTTTCGAAACCCGTTGGCGGCCATCTTTTTAGATGTTTATCGAGCATTAGCATTAGCATTATTCGAGAGAGTCACCGCTCGTATATGCTCTGGAGAGCAGAAACAGCTGCGTAGGGGACATCGTCGCTGTACTCGGGTCCACCAGAACCTCCGGAGGGTTTCAGGAGTTTCACAATTTGCTCCAGGAGCTAGGTTTGGTCGACCTAATGGTGAGGATGCTGACGAGGACAGCGTAGGCCGTATAAGCCCTCGGCCTCGAGTGGTCTATGCCTGTCGAGCCCGCGCTCTACAGTCCGGCGCGAGGTTCATCCTCGCCCGCATCCACCTAATCTGTCATTTATTTTTTGTTTTGATAATAAACGAAGCCAGCCTCCAAAAGTGATTAATCTGTCCTGTGATTTTTTTCTCTCTCTCACACATCACTGTCCAGACACTAACTTATATGTTGGTTGTCTTTACATTATAATAATATTTCATATAATCTAGATATGGAATAAATAGCATTCAATACAAAATGAATATGTCTCATATATTGAAATCAAGTTTTATGTGATAAAATATTTGCTTTGTTGTGCATTAGAACCACAGTCATATATTACAAAATAATTTATTGAAGCATCCAGATACTTCACCACGTGACAGCAGCAAGCAGCTAGGCTCCTGATTGGTTAACGCAGCGCGAATTGACGCAGAAGTTCAGATTTTTCAACTCGGGCGGCAGACGCGAATTCGCGTCAAACGCGTGAATGCACAAATAGCACTAACTAAATCATTCGCGCGTAACGCGCTTAACGCGCCAGACGCTCAATTCGCGCCATTCGCGCGAACTTGACGCGCGAATGAGGAGTATTCGCGTCTACCGCGCCGCGCTCTACGCCTCATTCGCGCCGCAGGAATTTTTTACGCGCGTAAAGGGGCTTTCACACAGGACGCGGAATGCGCTGCGCTGCGCTGGCCGCTGGGTTCAGCGTTGCCCTTCAGATACGACGCGATTTGCCCCTGAGATTTTTCCATCGCTTTTTTCACTCATCCTCTAAATAAGTTGGGAAAATGTTTTTTTTTTTTTAGTAACACATTTGACTCGGGCGGCAGACGCGAATTCGCGTGAATGAACAAAATGCACCATTCGCGCGTAACGCCCCAGACGCTCAATTCGCGCAATGAGGCGTATTCGCGTCTACCGCACCGCGCTCTACGCCTCATTCGCGCCGCAGGAATTTTTTACGCGCGTAACGCGTCTTTGCATTGACTTAACATTGAAATCACTCGCGCCTGACGCGCTATTCGCGTCCGGTGTGAACGCACCATAACTATGCGTTCACACCGGACGCGAATAGCGCGTCAAATTCGCGTCTACCGCGTCTAGTTTGACGCTTGACCACTTTGTGTTAATTCGCGTGTCAATGGCGAAATTGACGCGCGTAAAAACAAAAGTTTGAAGCGAAATTTACGCGCGTCAGAGGCGAAATCCGGAGGCGAAAGTTTCGAAACCCGTTGGCGGCCATCTTTTTAGATGTTTATCGAGCATTAGCATTAGCATTATTCGAGAGAGTCACGGCTCGTATATGCTCTGGAGAGCAGAAGCAGCTCCGTAGGGGACATCGTCGCTGTACTCGGGTCCACCAGAACCTCCGGAGGGTTTCAGGAGTTTCACAATTTGCTCCAGGAGCTAGGTTTGGTGGACCTAATGGTGAGGACGCTGATGAGGACAGCGTAGGCCGTATAAGCCCTCGGCCTCGAGTGGTCTAGCTATGCCTGTCGAGCCCGCGCTCTACAGCCCGGCGCGAGGTTCACCCTCGCCCGCATCCACCTAATCTGTCATTTATTTTTGTTTTGATAATAAATGAAGCCAGCCTCCAAAAGTGATTAATCTGTCCTGTGATTTTTCTCTCTCTCTCACACATCACTGTCCAGACACGAACTTATATGTTGGTTGTCTTTACATTATAATAATATTTCATATAATCTAGATATGGAATAAATAGCATTCAATGCAAAATGAATATGTCTCATATATTGAAATCAAGTTTTATGTGATAAAATATTTGCTTTGTTGTGCATTAGAACCACAGTCATATATTACAAAATAATTTATTGAAGCATCCAGATACTTCACCACGTGACAGCAGCAAGCAGCTAGGCTCCTGATTGGTTAACGCGGCGCGAATTGACGCAGAAGTTCAGATTTTTCAACTCGGGCGGCAGACGCGAATTCGCGTCAAACGCGTGATTGCACAAATAGCACTAACTAAATCATTCGCGCGTAACGTGCTTAACGCGCCAGACGCTCAATTCGCGCCATTCGCGCGAACTTGACGCGCGAATGAGGCGTATTCGCGTCTACCGCGCCGCGCTCTACGCCTCATTCGCGCCGCAGGAATTTTTTACGCGCGTAACGCGTCTTTGCATTGACTTAACATTGAAATCACTCGCGCCTGACGCGCTATTCGCGTCCGGTGTGAACGCACCATTAGGCTGTATTTAGATCCAGTGCTCAAAACCTTAGTTTTTCTTCTTATTCGTGGCAGCTTCTTTAGGCAGCTGACTTGTTGCCACAGTTGTACTTTTGTTCAGTTGCACCAGTCTAATATATCCGTAGACGGGCTTTTGCACTGCTCACAAATCAGTTTTTATAACTTATGTTATGTTCTGTCATGCTTACCTAAATAAAAATTATATATAAAAAATTTAGAATTATCTGTATTGGAATTTAAATATAGGCATATGTTGAACTTTTTTTTCTTTTACATGCGGCGTTGTATTACGCAATGCATAAATTACTGAATGAAAAGTTGGTTAGCAAACACATATGCACGCGTCACTACGTGAAGTAGTCCGAATTTCTGAAACGGACATAGGGCTTTATATAATACCTTTTTCGGCACCAGTCACTTCAGTGATTTACCCTGTGGTGGACAACTCGCAGGGAAAAGCTCACATATTCACCCAGCTTCTTCATGCCGTCCAATGCTATGGTCCAATGTTCAGAATTCAGCTCACTTCTTCTTCTTTTCTTTTTATTGGCGGCTGGCAGACCTTTAAGGTGCATTACCGCCACCATTCGACTCCTAATGTTTTAGAATCCCCAAACTCCATATTTCATAGGGATTTTTCCATATTTTTAGCCAGTAAATTTCCTAATGATATATTAATTTGTGCTCAGCTGTTTCTTGTTCATTGAATTTACATTTCCATATTTCATAGGGATTTCCCCATATTTTTAGCCAGTAAATTTCCTAATGATATAATAATTTGAGCTCAGCTGTTTCTTGTTCATTGAATTTACATTTCCCTGCAGGATGCTTTTCGTCAAAATTGTCATTCAATCCTCTACTGACTTGCAATTATTGATTTTGATTCATCCCTTCTTAATACTGAATTCCAATCTCCTGTTCTGTTCCCACATTTGTCTGAATATTATTCACCAGCATTCCCCTCCACCCGTGGGCTGGTATCCATACAAATGCAACGGTCACTCCCTGTCTATGGTCACTCCCAGAGTGATACTCCCAATATTTGGATTCAGGGTAGTTTCAAAATAAGAGTATTGGCTTTTTTTGTGTGTAAATCTTGGGACGTTTTGGCTAACGATTTTTAAAACAAAATCAATTTATAAAATAGCCAGGACAGATCACAAACCCACAAATTAAAATATAGATACGAAATAGTTGTAATGCGACTGATGTATTGTGTATAGTGACGCCATTGCTCTGCGACGGTAGCGGAAGAGACGTGGCAAAAAAGCACTCTGACGAGATGTTAAAAAGATATTGAGGAAAGTATTCGAGAGTGTTGACATTTGCTTCAACTTGTGGTTGACTGGTATTTCCTTTGATATTTTCAGGTAAATATCATATTGTTTCACTATTAGTATGTTGATTAGTTTGCGGGAAGTTTGATACAGTCGAGGGGTTAACCATCCGTGGACTGTCACTGTCAGAGCTCGGTAATGTTTACGTTTACCTTAGGTGTGACGGATCCGTCACACTATATATATATATGTGTGTGTGTGTGTGTGTGTGTGTGTGTGTGTGTTAAACTAGAAAAGATAGTTTGATATTAAGTGCCGAGAAGAGCTGCATAACAAACAAAAAAGAGTTTTTTTAAGAGTATTTAGAATGAACCCTCGAATCAAGTCTAATTTATTGTACTCGAGTTAATATATGGATTCTGGAGGATTATATGTGGATCTTTTGCTTGACAGGGAGATCATGGGTCTGTGCAAGTGTCCTAAGAGGAAGGTAACGAACCTGTTCTGCTTTGAACATCGTGTCAACGTGTGTGAGCACTGCCTTGTATCCAATCACAACAAGGTGAGTGCTTTAATATTATTTAGTTAAAATTCATGACTGAAAAGCGATAGTCCACCCAAAAATAAAAATTCTGTCATCATTTACTCCCTCTCCCCTCTCATGTTGTGCCAAACCTTTCTTCAGTGGAACATAAAACAAGATAATGTAGACAAATGTTGGTAATGAAATAGGTTTGTTACTGTTGAATTCTATTGTATGGTAAAAAAAAATACAATGGAAGTCATTGGAAACCAAAAATATTTGGTTACAAATTCTTAAAAATCTTGTTCCTTCAAAAAAAAGAAAGAACAAGAAATGCATACATGTTTGGAATGACACAATGGTGAGGAAATTATGACAGAAATGTAACTTTTGGGTGGACTATCCCTTTAGGAAGAATATACAGTACATTTGGAAGATTTATACACAGATAAACACACTTCTGTTTCCTGTTACTCTTATTTGTACAGTGTATTGTACAGTCATACCTACAGTGGCTACAAGACAGCGATTACAACTCCAACTGCAGCCTGTGCAGCCAGCCCTTAGATTCCCAGGATACTGTTCGACTAGTTTGTTACGGTGAGAAGCTACAGAGATATAATCTCTTCTAGTGAACTCAGAGTCAGAAGTTCAGAAAAAGTAATGAAGCATTTTACACAGTAGTCTATATGAATGTCTGCATTGGTGTGGCTTTCATTTGGAATATTCTGGGATAGACTTTATTATTGGGATTATTATTTTATCATTTTCATTACATTTCATTATTTACCATGTCAGATTTATTCCACTGGTCATGTCTGAATGAGTTGGCCTCCCGTCAGCCTCTCTACACGGCACCTGCTGGGTACCAGTGCCCAACATGCCAGGGTCCTGTGTTTCCACCCCCAAACCTGGCCAGTCCTATTGCAGACATGCTGAGAGAACTACTGTCCTCCGTCAACTGGGCTAGAGCAGGACTGGGCCTTCCGCTGGTGAGGAAATATGCCATCAGTTATGATACACCACTTCACGACTATAGACACACCTACCTTTTCCACACCTGAGTTAAATAGTAGATAAATAGTAACAGTAAATAATCAGCATTTCCACAAATGGAAGTAAAGGAATTATGTAATAAAATAATTGTATATTTAAGCTTCTTTAGGGACACTTTGTCTAGATTCCAGCACTGCACATTATGGGTGTTTTCTCATTCAATATCATGAGGTGCATCTACAATTTTAAATATTTAAGACTTTAGATCAAGCATTAGCCATTAGACTTATTGATATTTGAAAATAAGATTGGAGAAGGACAGTGATACTTTTAATAGTTAAATTGGTTTAAAATTGAATTAATCAATTTTCAGTAGGATTGAGTGACTTGTCAAAATAATCCCACAGATTTAAAGGCCCATTGGCACTGAATGCGACATGTAAATACGGAATCAACGAATTTGAAGATATAATAAATATTAACAGCAAACTTTTTGAGTAAATCTTACATCATCTTATCTTGTTCAAGACATTTGTCTTTCAACATTAAGTGTTAACACTGATTTAGCCATTCATTTGCATTTGCATCTGGACTTCTTTCTGTCCAGATTGAAGACCCACCAGAGAGGGAGGAAACCTCAACACATGATGTTACGTGTTACTCTGAATGGTCAACTTTTGAGAGTGAGTTTGTCATAATTGTAATTTACAATTTTTAGCAGGGTTCCCACACGTCCTGGGAAACATGGAAATCTGTGAAGCAGTTTTCCAGTCACGGAAATGTCATGGAAGATTAGAGAAATATATTTTACTATAATGATTTTGTGGAAAACACTCCTACCGGTCAGTACTTAGAATAGGTGTCAAATACAAATATTCATCAGGGATGTGTTTTTGTTATTTATTTGCATTTCCTTATTTCATGCATATTTCGTGCATGGTTTGCTTCTGACAGCACTACTAGGGCTTGCGTAACCATCTTCCACAGCTGTTGTGTTTGTAACAAAATAAATGCTTTAAGGTCTCTCTTGTTTTCTGCCAAAAAACCCCCCAAAAAAACTGCATAGTTAAGAAATTAAGACTGTGATAGCTATTCTTATAATAATTTTATTCATTTATATATATACACTACCGTTCAAAAGTTTGGGGTCGGTACGATTTTAAATACTTTTAAAAGAATTCTCTTCTGCTAACCATGGCTGCGCTTATTTGATTAAAAATACAACAAAAATCAGTTATAGTATTAAATATTATTCCAGTGTAAATCAGCTGTTTTCTGTGTGAAAATATAGTAAAGTATAATTTATTCCTGTGATCAAAGCTGAATTTTCAGCATCACCAGTGTCAGTGTCTTCAGTGTCAAATGATCCTTCACAAATCAGTATAATAGGAGGATTTGATGCTCAAGAAACATTTATTATTATTATCAATGTTGAAACAGTTGTTGGTCTGTCAGTTGTACAGTTTTTTTTTGTTTTTTCTTTGATGAATAGGAAGTTCAAAAGAACAGCATTTGTTTGAAATAGAATCTTTTGTAACATTATAAATGTCTTTACTGTCACTTTCGATCAAATTAATTATTCCTTGATAAATAAAAGTATTGATTTCTTTCCTCCAAAAAATAAAAATAAAATTCTCACTGACCCCAAACTTTTGAACGGTAGTGTATATATATACATATATAATATTTGTATAATATATATATATATATATTACCTGTGTCTGTGAAGCGACTCTCTACTAACAATGAAGCTGTGAGTTTAATTACTTAAACACAGACGTTACAACCTCCTTGCTGCTAATTTAGTGATTCAGTTGCGAAGTTAATTTATTAATAAAAGTTTTGGGGCAGGGTTGACAACACGTTTCTGTGTGAGCAGCGCAAACTTGTGACAACATGTGAATTAAAGGGATAGTTCACCAAAAAGCAAAATTCTGTCAACATTTATTCACCCGCAAGTTGTTCCAAAACTGTATGAATTTCTTTCTTTTGCTGATCACAAAAGAAGATGTTTAGAAGAATATTGGTAACCAAAGAGTTGATGGGCTCTATTGACTTCCATAGTATGAAAAAAAAAAAAAAACTACTATGGAAGTCAATAGGGCCCATCAACCGACATTCTTCAAAATATCTTTTGTGTTCAGCAGAAGAAAGAAATTCATACAGATTTGGAACAATTTGAGGATGAGTAAATATTGACAGAATTGTATTGCACACCTTCCTTCCAATCAGAGTGTTCAGACAGACCATGGTATAAAAAAGTAATACAGATAATTCTTCAAACATTCTTCAAACTTATTTAATAAACATATCTATGTTCTAGCCCCTGCAGTGGATATAACGATGTCAAACCCCACACTCACCAGTCTACCACCCCATCAGGATGTGGAGCACATCCACAATAATGGAGAACTGAGTGCCCAGAAACACTCTGTCATCAATATGAGCACCACCTCTACCACCGACACAGTCACTATTAACACAGGTATCCTCCAGCACTGACGTACTGTGGCATGAATATGTAACTATTTAACAAATTCATTTTTTTATTTTATACGATCTTGCTACAGAAATGAAATAAAAATTGTGATTATATTGTGTTGTGACTATTGTGTTCAGACTAGAATACTAGTTTACTGCATACTATGCAGTAAATAATGCATACTTTATGTAAAATAATTGTTGCTACAATAAACAATGAATGTGCAAATTTCAGACAGTAGAATACTTTGTCACACTTTTTCACATTACTACTTTGAATGTTTAATACAGTGAATGATGTGAGTGATTTATTGATCCAATGTAATCAACTTTTTGACCATTTTTAATCCTTTTTCATTAATAAATGATTCCACTTCGACAGTCCATCACATGATGTGTCAAGAACAACAGGTTTAAAATCACATTTGATGTATTTATTTGTCACTCAAGAAATGGAACTTGGTTGCATTGCATTCTGGGATATAGTATCTCACGTAGTGTGTTGTAGGTGTCTGGCAAAGTATAGTCTCTAATATATTCTTTGTTGATTTCTTGCAATGCATCTTCTCAGCTACTTCCCCAAGAAAGGTGTACGACACACGGGATTCAGGAAACAGTGAAGTGATGCAGATTGACTTTGATGACGATAAATACCGCAGACGACCTGCCCTTAGCTGGTTTGCACAGCTCCTAAAGTGAGTGTCCTCAGTCTGTGGCTCAAATTCATTTATTGCAAATGCTTGCTATGGCCTAATCCTATTTGTCGTATGCTGTAATATATTTTCACTGGCAGTTTTGACAGCATTTCTTTTATACAAATAGTACATGTAAATTCATGCAAGTATTTTTTACTAATCACTACTATTTTACTAATTTAATTGATTTAACCCTTGTGCCTCCTTAGGGACATGTTTGGTCTTTTCAGTTTTGTTTTTTTGATCACTTTGCCTGTGTTAATGCTAACTGCATAAAATTTGGCACAGGTGTGTATTTTATTGTAATTTTACTATTTCACCGCTATTTCCTTAAATTTTTTTTTTTTTTGCACTAGGTACACAAAATACTCCCACTCAGCGCCTTTAGGACAAAAATGGCCCCATTGAAACCCATTAAAACTGCATTTTTTTTATCCCAATGCCATTTAACTATAAAATGATCCAATCTTTGTTAAGAGGCTTTTGTTGGCAAGGCTTCAAAATTAAAACTTGTACTATTTTTTTTTTATCAGATTGTGCCATTTTTTCAGGTTTGGTCTTTAAAGCAAATTCTTGCTTTATTCCTGTTTTCTGCTTCGGTATATTATAGAGCCAATTGGATAAATTATGCAACGATATTTGTGTGGGTGTCAGAGTGTGGTTGGTATGTGTTATAAAATATATATATATGTGTGTGTTTGTAATATTGAGAGAGGAAAAACTCAACTGCAAATCTAAAATCCAATCAGTGTGCACCAATGGAGTTTTGCTGCATGGCATCCAATGGGGAAAGTCTGTTACTGCGCCCAAACAAAATCTTACTGAAAGCTCATTTTTTGAGATATCAACCTCAAATTTGGAACACAACTTATTTATATTAATGGCTTTGATTTTCTAGCCGTTTTAGAGTTCAACTTGTTTTTATAAAATGTATATTTTATATAAAATAATGTTCATAAATAATTTTCATACACTTAAACCTATATAACTTTTTTGGATTGACTTATTCATTTTTTTTTTTTACTTCAGCAACAATCTGCCAAGGGTCTTCTTTAAAATGATACCAAACTTAAGACTGTGCTCCCAAGCTTCACATTTTTATGACAGTTTTTGACGTGGACATTTTTGTCCTCTATGGAGCTATGTGTAACTTTTTTTTAAATGAGGCACAAGGGTTAAATCTATTACGGTAAAAAAAAAAAATATTTACATAATATTTACAAATATGCTTGTGTGCATTTATTCTTTTTCCTAGGAATCGTAGTAACACTAAGAAAAAGGCCCTCACACTGAAACAGCGAATCTTCATGTTGCTGTTAGTTGGAGTGATTGGTTTCTTCACCCTCATCATCATCATGGCTAAACTGGGTCGGGCCTCTGCTGAGTCAGACCCGAACCTGGATCCCATGCTGAATCCCAACATCAGGGTAGGCAACATGTAACGGATCAACTTCCAGCTAAAGCTCAATGTGTGGATTCAGCGTGGAGTTTGACTTTACTGGTAAACCGTGAACTGGAAATGCTGGAGAAGGAATGCTCCTCAAGATTCTGGGACTAGTGTGAAGATACTGCTGTTTGGATTGTGCAACAAAAGTGTGACTTAGTGGTCAACTTGAGTGAAGATAAAGATGGAGATGGCCAAGAAGTTGTTGCACAACACATCTCCTGTTTCTCTTGAGTGAGATGATATAGGCTCTATAAAAGTGTGTGCAACTGTGTTTCATTCAGTTCTGTAATTCCCTGGCATACCCTTCTTAAAATTGGGATCAAAGATTTTATGTCATTGTTTTGAAATCTTTAATTATTTCTTATAATATGCACAGAACTCATTAGGATCCTACATGGAATTGGTGAGATTATTGCTTCTCTGAGTATACATGGTTATGAGGTGTCTTTTTTTTTTTTTTTTAGTTGATTGCCTTTTATTAATTGCTGATTCAGTTAGACCCCTGCCTGTGAATAGGCTTTTGCTGATTTACACTTATCTTTGCAGTGGACTGTAAAACTGATTTACTAAAGCATTTAGAAAATGGTTTTGGTTGGCAAATTGCAAAATGCTTTTGTAGATACAGCCATAAATAGACAGATGCAAACTGTACTTGGTGAATGAAGTGTCTGGGCCATATTTCATTCAAAAATTACATTTTGAATTACAGAAATGAAGCCTATTTTAGGGCTTTTTTTACATTTTGACATTATTATAACAATTATATGGTCTCTATATTTCCATTACTGTTATGAAAAAAAAAACTCAATACAGTAATGAAAATCATCTACAATCATCAACACTTTTTAATCTGCACAAATTAAATGCAGTACTATACAATAATGCATACCTACAAAAGTACTTTTCAATGTACTGTACAATTTAAATTATATATTTTTTTTCACTACCGAGAATTCAGAAATGGATATTTTTGTTCTTATGCAAAATATACTTCATTATTATATTTATATTCTTTATTGAAAGATATTTATCATTTTCTTTTGATCTGAAATATGACCCGAACATGTTCTTGACAGATTCACACAAACAGCTTTTGTACAGAAGAATTTAAAGTATACTGTATATGTTTGCAAAACCCACCCCAGCAACCCAAAGCTCATATGTATCTGGAGATAAACATTCATATTATTTGCCATTCTTAAATATCCTTGTTGCATTTCTTGACTGTAGCAGTAATTAACAACATTTAGAGGTTGTCTTTATCCTTCAGCTCCAACTGTATCTCAAGAAAGCGATCATCTGGCTTTTCCCTACAGTGATTGCTTACTGGAGTGCCTACCATAATATTTACATCATCTCTGGTTGTGGTTCAACTTTATAACATGTTTTTTTTGCTATTTACTTCTCTGTGTCCATGGATTTCCACTTTTTGTCATAATATACACTGATATTATAATATTGGGTCAATCCATCTCAAGTGTTACAATGCAGGTTGCTTGACCATATTTATCATAATTTTGTTTTGAGTGATTACCTCAATGTATTGGTATTGCAAAACCACATTTTTTTCTTATACTTGGTTTAAAATTTTAAGAAGAAAAACTAAAAACAAAGATGTGCCACATTAATTAAATGATTTATTAAAATATTTTTATTTTATTAATGTTACAACAGAAGTACCAGAGGGATATCCAAGATACATGGGGCCTTGAAATATCATCTTGAAGTCATTTAAATAATTTTAGGACTTTTTAGGTTCCCCTTGAAGGGTTGCCCTTGTGGTCCCAGTGAATGCAACAGTCAAGGATTCCACTTTAGAGCAACACAACGCCAGATTAAGAAATGTTCTGCCCAGAATTCAAAACAATTAACTATAAACTCATGAGTAAATGTCAGTTTTGGCTCAGAGTAAATTAGAGGAGATTAACTATGGATAAGGTGTCAAGCTTGAGAAAACTAAAATACAACTTCTGAAGCTTGGGAGATGTTTGGCACCGATCCCTTTCATTTGAATGGGAAAGCTATCTGTTGGTGATAGATTATCAATGAGAAGGCTTTATTGACAGGAACAGCAGCCAGTTATGATAAGCCAGAGACACAGAATTCCTAAATCAGGAATCGTGGCAATAGGCCATGTTACAATAGGATTTCCAGCAATTTGCAAAGCAGTACAAATTCCAACATGTAATTTCTCATGCACACGCGAAAAGGCAGAAAAGGGAACGCACACCCTCAAATGACTTCCCAAAAAAGCTGTGGATGATGGGTCAGATACACACCTCACTTCTCCATTGGACTGCTGTGTATCGCCAGCTGAACTGTTAATGGATCGTAAGATGTACCATCCTTCCATATTTTTCTGAGACTAAGCTAAACAAGGGTCTGAAGCAGAGAAAAAAGCTGAAAAATGTAAATAAATAAAAACCTATTATTATGACACTCCCACCTCTACAGAGCCCGTAGTGAAAATTAATGCAAACACATGGAGCAAAAAAGCAACTGTGTTTGAAAGAATTAATCCCAGATCTGACAAAGTGCTTACAGAAACTGGTCAAGTGTTCAGAAGAGCCTGAACCTGAACTGTCACAGAAACACAATAAACATTCTGATTTACCTGTGCTAAGATGATCAATATCTAGATGATGAATCAAGATTCTAGAAGTTTTTGTGTTTAATGACATAGTTTTGAATCCATTTAGTTTAAAATGTATTGTCTTGAAAATTGATTTCAATTGCATGTGTAGTTTCATTTGAATTATGTATCTCTAAACAAAAGGAGGTCAGTGCTGTTTGTTAGATGTGCAGGATTGGTTTTGCAAAACATGTTTTATTAACAAAGGTCGGGAGGAGCACGCTCACAATCAGTACGATTGGAGGCCTATATACTGTATATAAAGCCCACTCACCTCTGTTCCTCGACACTCTTTTTTGCATTCCTCCTCCACCCCGACTCTTCATTCTCGGCTAGTTCCTATCCCAGCCAGGGATACGGGGGAGAACTCTGGGTTCAGGCCACATTCCAAGCTCGGAGCCCTCCCCCGGACCGCACGCCAAATACGCATACTCTTTTACTGATTTATCTGATTATTTGTAAGTGTAAACTTGTGAACAATGCTATTTATGTTTAAAGCAATAAAAAGAATGAATGAATAAAATGCACATTCTGTACTGTATATTGCATGTTGTATATTGGAATGCATTAGTTACTCCTACTGGCCTCACTAACACCTTTTCCAGCAGCAACCTGGTTTTCCTAAGAGGTCTCCCCTCCAGGTACTGACCAGGCTCAGCCCTGCTTAGCTTCAGTGGGCTCCTCACTTCTTATTTGTGCATCTTTGTGTCCCAGCTCCACCCCCTTAGGATGCGAGGGAAGGATTTTTCAACCTTTATTGATCCGATTGAGCTCGAATGGAATCAAATTTCGATCGGATTGAAAGGGGTGCTTTTTCCTTTTCTAATCCGATCGAGAGAACATGTAAACACTTGATCGGATTAAAAACCGAAACTGAAAGGACTGCGTACATGTGCAATGACGTTGAAATAGCGTAATGACGTATGACGCTCGGAATGTTCTTCCTGTTGAATAAAGTGTCATATAAATAAGTGTCCCGTCATTTTAAAATTCTCCTTTCACTCAGCGTCTGTGAAGTGGAGCAGGACAACGTCCAACCAGTCATTTTCTCCCCTCCAGGTACTGACCAGGCTCAGCCCTGCTTAGCTTCAGTGGGCTCCTCACTTCTTATTTGTGCATCTTTGTGTCCCAGCTCCACCCCCTTAGGATGCGAGGGAAGGATACGCCTGTGTATCCTAGGGGTGTCGAAATTAATTGTTTCTACGATGCATCGCGATGCAGACGAGGACGATTCGGTATCGGTTTCAGTAATAGACCATAACCGATTATAATGTACTGACGCTTTTCTGACGTCATTTGACTACTCAAAAATAGCAGTACTACTCTAGTAAAACTGCAATTGTAGGACAAGACTTTGGAGCTCATTGTGCAATTGACTCACATCTAGGTAATCAAAAACCTTCTTTGAATGTACTACCTACTATTTAAAAATATTATTTTAATGCTTTCACCGTAATATTCTTGTGCAGAAATACCCATTCCGCTATCTAGAAATTGTGGCCCAGTGGCCTAATGGATAAGGCATCAGCCTTCGGAGCTGAGGATTGTGGGTTCGAGTCCCATCTGGGTCATCTGAGACTTTCCAGAAAATCAGTGGCGTGAGGCCAATAATGTCACAGTCTTTAATTGCCACTTGCTTAAAGGGTTCTTGTACATATTTCAAGACATTTGTCATTTCAGCTTGAACTTTAAAATGATTTCCAAGAAATATCTTTCTTCTAAAAGAGTATTGTTGGTTTGATTCACACTTGCATTGTTTAAAAGGTTTTTTTTTGTGTTGGCAGGAGCCTACAATGTACATGCAGTTTATTAGAAAGACAGTACTACTGAAATAAAGGAATACAACTCTAGTAAAACTGCAATTGTGGGACAAGATTTTGGAGCTCAGCATTGTGCAATTGACTCACATCTAGGTAATCAAAAACCTTCTTTGAATGTACTACCTACAATTTAAAAACATTATTTAATGCTTTGACTGTAATATTCTTGTGCAGAAATACCCATTCCGCTTTAATTGCCACTTGCTTAAAGGGTTCTTGTACATATTTCAAGACATTTGTCATTTCAGCTTGAACTTTAAAATGATTTCCAAGAAATATATTTCTTCTAAAAGAGTATTGTTGGTTTGATTCACACTTGCATTGTTTAAAAGGTTTTTCGCTACAATGTACATGCAGTTTATTAGAAAGACAGTACTACTCAAAAACAGCAGTACTACTCTTGTTAAACTGCAATTGTGGAACAAGACTTTGGAGCTCAGCATTGTGCAATTGACGCACATCTTGTGGGTTCGAGTCCCATCTGGGTCATCTGAGTCTTTCCAGAAAATCAGTGGCGTGAGGCCAATAATGTCACAGTCTTTAATTGCCACTTGCTCAAAGGATTCTTGTACATATTTCAAGACATTTGTCATT